TGTTCTAGCGGAAGATTCACTCTCGTTTTGCACACTTTGAGAGTAGTGGAGCGGCGCGGTGCGGCACTCTCTCTCTCTCTCTCTCTCTCTCTCTCTCTCTCTCTCTCTCTCTCTCTCTCTCTCTCTCGTGGTGAGCGCGCGCGAGAGAGAGAGAGTCGCCAGGCTGTGCGGGGTGCTCCAAGCAGCCCGCCGGATGTCATGCCACAGATTTCGTGAAGACAAAAACCATGGTGGTGTATCTTTCCATGTTCTAGAGGAAGATTCGCTCGCGTTTTGCACATTTCGAGAGTGGAGTACCCGTATTTCTCTTGTTGCGTTTTTGCATTTTGTGTTTCTTTTTCTTTTTTTTGTCTTCTCTTTCCCGTGTTCTTCTGCAACCAGGTAGGGGAAGGTAGTGCCCGGTAGTTCGAGCCTCGGCAAGGCTCGGCATACCAGTCGGCCGAGGCTCGGACTTGGGGCAGCCCGTGGGTCCCACTAACACAAGGACGGAGCATTTGCCAAATTGCCAGTAACTGTGCCTCCCTTTTCATCTTCCCAACTCCCATCGAGCACCAGTAGTGTCTAAAGCCAACACTCTCCCACACACCACACGGAACCCAATCCCACCCGCACTCACACCGTGGCCAAGGTCCCATTTGCACGGATTACGAGAATCTGGCCGTTGATCTTTCCTATCTAAGGTTAATATCCCTTAATTCGTGTGAGTGGGACCTAGCCCCGGGGCTGGGTCCCACCAGCAACGTGGATCGAACTAGGAACCTGAATCTGGATAGGTTCTTGGCGGATATGCAGAAAAGCTGATCAATCACGGTTTTCTGTATCTGTCCTCAAACGAGTCTAGATTCCGGCGTTAGATCTAATCCTCTCTGCTAGTGGGATCGCGCCCCCCTGTTGGCTGAAGACGACTGGGAGGACTTAGCGCGTTTTCGGTTTTATTTTTCTTGACGCGGGCTTAGATAAGCCTTCGGATGCACAGCCATCGACGGCTTGTTTTAAGCCGTATCGCGTTGGTAGCTGCACCTCCGCCATGGTGGTGGGACCCGCGCCCTCTCAGTTTTGCAAAAGGCTGTATTCTTCTCTCGATTTCACCTTTTGAAAAAAAAAAAAGTTTTGCAAAAGGCGGTAATGTTCCCGCTCGTTTAGTGGCGGCTTCGCGTTGGTAGCTGCACCTCCGCCATGGTGGTGGGACCCGCGCCCTCTCAGTTTTGCAAAAGGCTGTATTCTTCTCTCGATTTCACCTTTTAAAAAAAAAAAAAGTTTTGCAAAAGGCGGTAATGTTCCCGCTCGTTTAGTGGCAGCAAAACGTGGTGCAGTAAGATCGGCCAAAACGCGTCCCCCAGTATGGCCCCCGGCACACCACTGTCAAAAACGAGAGAGGTGAGAGTGCATTTTCCTCAGGAAGTGGTCAGATCCATCTTTACCATTCATAGAAACGGAGCATCTGGCCACTCTCTGTGGAAATATGCAGTCTCTGTGGGAACATGCAGTCGTACTTTTCCCGTTTTCGACAATTTGTGGCGACGCCACGGCGATCTCGACGATCTGCTGGCGCGAGGTTCCACTAGCAAAGAGGTTTGCATAAATACCCTGAATCTGGACGTGTTTTAACAAGAGATGCAGAAATCACTTCAATCTCGATTTCATGCACCTATACACAAACACGTCCAGTTTCAGGCATTCGATCGGATCCTCTTTGCTAGAGTGGGACCACGCCCCTGATCAATAGGTACATCTGGCTCAGCATCCAGTCGGCACGTCCGGCAACGGCGGAACAGTCAGAACACACGTTTCCTGCTCTGTGTTCTGCTTCGCGGGCCATTTTCCGTTTGAGGGCCTTTCCTTTTTTTTTTTTTTTCCTTTTTACAAGAAAGACTCTGCTCATTGGCATCCTCAACAAACAACACGGGAAACAAGGAGGGCCTTATTGTTTTTTTTTTTTTTTTTTTTTTTTTTTTGAGGACCTTATTGCAACACTGCCACCGTCGAAGATCTGTGATGCTTTTTTTTTGTTGAAAAGATTAATTTGCCAAAGATTCATGCCAAAATGTCCCTGAAAGATGTGGGTAGAGCGCAATGCCCTTTGGGCCGAATTCTTTGCGCCTTGGCCTTTTGCACCAGCGCCGAGGGGAAGTGGGCCCCTCGGCAAGTACTGGGGCATTTTGCAACGTTGGATGGTACCCGGTAGGGGTAGATTCCAAAAGTCGGGTTCCAACCGATGCCAGGGGTATTTCACAAAATATGTTTTTTGTCAGAGGGGTATTTCGCTCTCTCTACATATTTTAGGGGCATTCTGACATATATATCTAAACTTTTGGGGGTATTTTTCAAATTATGCCTTTTGAAAATCTGCAACGATTCTGGACACCTCGTCTGTCCAGGTGCGTTTAATATGTTGGCTGACGAAGAGTGGTGCCACTGCCCTGACCCTAGTTTCTCCTCCTAGGCTATTGATCGGCGGAAGAATAGACTCGCTTCCTCGAGGGCGGAAGAATAGACTCGCTTCCTCTCGGCCCGCCCTCGAGGAGTCGGATGGACATCGAGTCTCGCTGCACTACCCTAGACCCGAGAGTCCCCGTTCTTTATATGGTTGGGTAGGAGGCAAGAAGATTAGACGGAGCCAGTTTCTCTCTCTCAAGGCTCAAACCCAGGAACAAAGTGGAGGCGATAGAGGAGGAGGAGAGGGAAGACGGTATTCCTCGTCTTGTCCCTTCTCTGCTGCTGTTTCTTTGCGTTCATTAGCAGTTCTCTGTAGAGATGGCGCGCAAGGGAGTTCTCATTGGCATCAACTATGCCGATAACAGGCAGATCCCGACTCTAGACGGTCCTGTCCATGATGTCGAGCAGGCGAAATCCATGCTCACGTCATTGTACGGCTTTGCGGAGTCGGATCTTTTCGTGCTTGTCGACGATCCGTGCGCCTACAAGGGTTGCGCTCTCTCTCCGACGAAGTCCAATGTGTTGGCCGCACTGGATTGGCTGGTGAAAGGTGCGCGTGATGGCGACGTTCTCTACGTGCATTTCTCCGGCTACGGCTCCCAAGTTCCATCGGAGGCCTCATTCGAAGGCTTGGAGGAGGTCATACTGCCCGTCGATGCCACATCGGACTCTCGCGGATTTGGAAATGTCATCAAACATGATGCCTTCATGGCGAAGTTCGACTGCGTGCCCAAGGGTGTGACCGTGGTGCTCGTGTTCGACGCTGGGTTCAAGGCGGACGACGAGTGTGCGACAGGTGAGCGTCATTGTCCAACATTTTAGTCTGTCACGCCGAGGTGGTGTTTCTTCCTTTTCAAGTTTCATCATGTCAACCTTCTCCTTTGTCACGCTGCGATGTATTTCCTCGTTGGGCGTTATTATCATTTCGACCTTCCATCTTTGTCACGCTGAGATGGTGCTTCGTCACTGATCATCGACTCGGTCCACTTTCCTTCCATCTGCAGTTAATGGTGTCTGAAAGAATCGAGTTGTCAGAATGTTTTTTTTTTTTTTCTTTTTTTTTTTTGTAAGATTTCTTTTCGAGTTCTTGACTGCTCGGTCTTTTGTGTCTCGCCCCTTAGCCATCGAAGGATTTCCTAATGGAAAAATAGCGGCGATTTTTTTAATTTTATTTTTTAATATTTCTTTTTGAGTTCTTGACTGCCCGGTCTTTTGTGTCTCGCCATCCTAATCCATCCAAGGATTTCCTAATGGAAAAATCACGGCTATTCTGAGCTGTCCCCAATAGTGACTTACTGTAATACCCCGCAAGGTTTTCAGTAATGCTGTTCCGTAATCCCCGGATCCCCGGTGTTTTTATCACGGCGATTCTGAGCTGTCCCCAATAGCGACTTACTGTAATACCCCGCAAGGTTTTCAGTAATGCTGTGCCGTAATCCCCGGATCCCCGGTGTATACTGGTTTTTGCTTTTTTGCCTTTTTCTTTCGATAGCGGCGACGGCCTTTAGATATCATCATTGAACTGACTGGCCCCAGACAGCTCAGAATGATGTTGTTCTCTTTATCTGAACACCTCTGTGTGTACCAACTGAACTAGGCCCGTTGGTACTGTTTGCTTTTCCGTTGTCGATGCCTGTCCTTGTAGTCTTGTAGAGGGTACATCTTGGTATGTTTTCAGAGGGTAAAGCTGTTCTTTTTCGATTTGTTTCATTCTCAAAAGTTTTTTTTTTCCTGCAGCTCCCCACCAATAGATTGGAGCGACCATAAAGGCTGCTCAGAAAAAGGGAAAAAAAAAATGCCTATCAATGGCCAGAATTAAACATCTGGCGAAGTGTTGGCACCGGGAGAGGACTTGTAGTTAGGTCATGACGGACTGCTCATCGTGTCCGTTGATCGACGCATTATCATCGACGGTTGCCCCGACTTTACAGTGGCCCCAAGATGCAACGGATACATCTGAGTAGTTGTTGTCTAATTGCCGCAAAGAGCCTTTGTATGTCTCTAGTGTTTTTTTTTTTTCCGCCTCGTTTTTGATGCTTTCATCTCGGATCACGGCTAATACTTTTCTCTGCCTTTTGACTAAGTTCAAGTGTAATATCTGTTCTGACCAGTTCAACATCTGATTAAAAAAATAAAAATAAAAAAAATCTGATCCGTAATATCTGTTCTGATCAGTTCAACATCTGATACGTGGTCCATCGGGAAAAAAAATGGTTTCTGGATGGATACGGAGGGCCTACCAGAAAGGGAATCTGGAAGATTGAGGTCGAGCGGGGGGGCCTGAGATGCCAGTGATATAAACTCTTTAACGTTTTCCCGTGGGCCGTATTTAACGATGATCGGGTGTACTTTTTTTATATGATTTTTTTTTTGTTTTTGTTTTTTTGAAGAAACTGCCCGAGCGGCTACCTGGTCAGCCCATTGAGTCGTTAGTTCTTTCCCAGAAACCGGTATCAAATTTCGAATGAGTACCCTGCGCAGTTGGAAATAGCGAAGAACATAAATAGTAAGTAGGTTTTGGAATGCGTACGTATCTGGAATGTATATATCTTACCCTGTTGGGCCGGTCTTCTTTGTACTCGTTTGGTGTTTATGGCATTCCAGCGGTTCAACATTACACGTGTCGCAGTCTGCTGAACAAGGCTGTGAGGACGAGGGGCCTCGATAATTCCGGCGTAAGGGCTGGATACAGGAAGCTGAAGGAGGATGGGAGGTTTGCAGCGTTCAAGTCTGGGAATCCTCTCCGGGACACGTGCTTCGCTAATCCTTGTGCCTGGTTTGCTAGTGACGAACGACAGACGAGCTGGGACGCGAAGATCGAAGGGAGAGCTGTAGGCGCTTTCAGTTATTACTTCTATGGCGCCATCACCAACTCATCCAACGGCACGGATATCACGAATGACAGCCTTCTCTCCGCCACTACGCAAGCGCTCTACGATGCTGGATTTTTGCAGAAACCCGTGTTCGCATCCGTTGATGCCGACGGCAATCAGAAGAAGTTCCTTCCGCCCGTGCCTGCGCCGCCCGCCCCCGTCGTCTGCCCGGCGCCTGCCGAGCCGCATCCTGTCTGCGGACCTCCGCGGACGGTCGATAGTATCGTGAGGGATCTGGTCTGTGCTTTGGGTGTCACCGGTCTGGACATCGCTATTCGCATCAGAGAGGGTTGGTCGAAGCTGACAGTAGACGAGCAAGTCGTCATTTACGAGTCGTTGTTGACGGCGGGAGGTGTGAACGCAGTGAAGCTGGGTGCGGAGCTTGCGGGTGATGAGCGCTTCCTCCAAACAGTTGATTGTTTGGGCGAGGTTGTCTTTGAGAAATGCTCTCGGTATTCGCTGAGTTACTGGGTCAGGTGTTCCCGCCCGGGTGCGAATTTCTGCTTCATCCCCGCTTCTCCTCCTGCCGTCCCTGTTTGCCCTACTCTGTCTCCAGCATGCCCACCACAGCCTGTCTGCCGGCCAGCATGCCCACCAACGTTTGTGTGGACGCCAGCATGTTCGCCGCCGCCTGTCTGCCAACCAGCATTTCCGCTGCCGTCTCTGTTCCCGTCGGCATGTCCACCACCGCCTGCGTGCCCTCCAGCATGTCCGCCGCCGTCCTGCTTGACACGCCTCCAGGAGCTCTCAATCGCTTATCTCAAGAAGCATGCGGTCTCTGCCGATTGCGAGACTGTCGTCGAGCTTCTGGCGACTCGAATTGCTCTCTCCCAGTGCGCCGCCCTTGCCGACCAACAGAGGCTTGTGGATCAGCTTGCGTGTCTTGTTCAGTCTAAGGCATACGCCTTGATTGCTGAGCTGTTCGGTGATGCTCTCCCACCTGCAGGTCTCAAACTTCCCGGTACCGTCTGCGCGGATCCGTGCGCGCCCCCACCGCCACCCCCTCCCGCATGTGTGCCACCTCCCCCTTGCCCGCCCGCGTTCGT